GAAACCGAAGTACTCGGAGAAAACCTGCCCCAACGCCACTTTGTCCACCACAAATCCCACTTGACCAGACCCCGGGATCGAACCCGGGCCACCGCGGTGGGAAGCCACTGACTAACCGCTTGAGCTATGGCGCAGCCTGAATAACTAGTGGGGGGATGCGCATACGGACACAGAGACAATCGTGTCAGGTAGCATGATATAGATGCCAAGTGTCATGAAGTTCGGTGCAAGCATTCAGAGGCTACTAGTGGGGGGATGCGCATACGGACACACAGACAATCGTAGACAGCAGGGTGATCTCATAAGCATACTTTTTATTTTTTTTAAATAAGGAGAGTCATCATCATCATCAGTAATCTGTCAATACGACAGGTCCACAGTCTCTTTCAAAACAATTCCTCCACTTAATGCGATCTAGAGCTTTCTCCTTCAAATGACAGTATCCTCTTCTGTCCCCAAGGTCATCCAGCATCTTCTTACGTCTTCTTCCTCGTCTTCTTGTCACTTCTATCCGCCCATCTATCTTTCCTTCGATAGCTTCTTTTAGAAGGCAGTTTCTGCGTAAAACATGACCAATCCAATTAGCCTTCCGTTTTCTTATTTCATGTAGGATATTCCTCTGCTCACTGACTCTAATTAACACTTCTTCATTTCTCACATAATCGGTCCAACTGATCTTCTCCATTCTTCTCCAACACCACATTTCGAAACTTTCCAGATGTTTCTGATCTACTGCCCTAAGTGTCCATGTTTCAGCCCCATACAGAGCTATGCTCCAAATGTAGCATTTCACTAGTTTCTTCCTCAAATTTAAGTCCAATTTGCTGGTAAAAAGATTCTTCTTCTTGCTAAATGCAGCTTTTGCCATGGCAATCCTGGATTTAATTTCACAAGTACACCTTCCATCATCTGTTAACAAGCTACCCAAATATTTAAAACATTTCACATTCTCCACTTGTTTTTGGTCTATCTTTATTGTGACTGGGGTTGGTTGTCTCGAAATTTTCATTACTTTTGTTTTCTCCACATTCATTTCCATGCCATAGCACCTTCCAATTTCAATTAGTCTATCAATCATGCCCTGTAGCACAGTTTCTTCCTTAGCCATTAACACAAGGTCATCTGCATATTTCACAGTTTGAATAATTTGCCCTCCTACTTTGAAGTCACCGAGCCCATCCAGAGCTTCCTTGGTAAGGCATTCGCTGTACAAGTTGAACAGAATTGGTGATAAACAGCATCCTTGTCGAACTCCTCTTCCAATCTGCACACTTCCTGTCTCCCCCCTGTCCAGTCGTACTCTAACTTTCTGATCCATGTACAATTTGCTAATCAATCTTCTTTCATGCCAATCGATACCTGTTTCTTTCAGGATCTGCATTAATTTGGTCCAGTTTACCCGGTCAAATGCCTTCTGCCAGTCTATGAAGCAAACACACAGTTCTTCATCTATCTCCAAAGTTCGTTCCGCTATAATTCTCATCATCCCAATTGCATCCCTGGTTCCTTTTCCTCTTCTAAATCCAAACTGATCTTCTCCAAGTACATCCTCTATTTTCCTTTCAATTCTTCTTTTAAGTATCTTTGCTATTATCTTTGCTGTATGTGCAATAAGACTTATTGTGCGATGGTCGCTGCATTTTGTAGCTTTTGTCTTTTTCTTTAAGGCAATCATTGTAACTTCTGTAAAGTCCTTGGGCCACTCTCCACTTTCATATATGGTGTTCATTAGTTTTGTCAGTGTTTTCAAACCACCTTCTCCCAGTAACTTGAGCACATCTCCAGGTACATCATCATCTCCTGTAGCCTTTCCCTTCCTCATTTCCTTGATAGCTTTTTCCACCTCACTTTGTAAAATATATGGTCCTTTCTCGTCTGTATCTACTTCTTCTTCCGGTTCAACTTCTAAGGTTTCTGGCCGATTAGGCCGATCATATAGTTCTGAAATATAATTTTCCCAAATTTTCAACACTTGCCTCTGATCTACTATTCTATTCCCCTGGGAGTCTTCGATGCCAACATTTTGAATCCCATGGTTCTCTTTCCATCCCAGTTCTTTTGTCTTCATATACATCAAATCATAACGGCCTGTTCTTTGAGAGTATGCTAAGAAATAACGAGGAAGTGACTTGTTTAGTTTGAATCAGATTTATTTTAGTCCTGTAACGTATCGCTGTATTATAATACAGTTTGAAGTATACTGTCACGTATCCAGGTCTACGTGACTAATAATAATGGGCTCTGGATTCGATGCCCGGATTTATTGGCACTTCTTTACAATTAAAATCAATTATGTCAGCTCGCAATCAATGACTCTCTACGACTCGCTTCATTCCTTACTGAACCACGAGCGTCTTCTCTTCCATTGTGACGATTGAGGAATCACTGCTCACACACCGAACTCATTGAACTCCTGTATTACGTCTCTTTTATAACTTTATAAGCGGCCCAAATATAGGTCACCATTCCAAACCTTTCCTCTGTCATTCTGTTATCCGTTGCAGTGGAAACTGTGTTTAGCGATTTGCTACATACCAACGACTCGTTAGTTGCCATGCGTTGCAGGGGGAACGTAACTACCTAGCCGTTGTTCAGCAATTGACATTCGATCCGGCTCCACTCTTCCGGCTTTCAGACGGTGTTTACCGAAGCAACGGTCATATTCGTCACAATATATTAAACAATTTTCTTTTAGTTTGTGTAGGGTGTATCCCGTGTGGAGGCGGGTTCCAATACCTCCACTGTAGCCCTGCGAGTCGTATGAAGCGACGACAAGGAAGCCCAGTGCCTGGGGGCATTACTATGCCACCCTGTTCCTGGAGGATATAAATACGGGGACCTGGCTCTCCAGGTTGGGGAATCTGGAATCTGAGATCGTAAATTACGGTCACGAAGCCCGCAGGACTCTGACCCACGAATGTCTGCGCTGGCGAGGACTAGCAGCAATTGTAAACGGTAGACCCACCCTCTCGTCAGAGATAGCACCCCACGACAGCAAACCCGCAACTGTCTGACAGTAATAAAAATGTGGTCGTAAGCCTCAGATGGTGCTTTATTCGAAGACAGACTGGCCAACTGACCGTTTGTCGTAACGTAATTTTGACTTTGACTAGTTTGTGTAAATAGCAGTGAAGGGTGAAGCCTTGATGTTGATTTTTTATTTATTCAATATGTAGATTTGACTTCTTGCCAATAATAAAAGGGGGGGGCAACAGCTGACAGTGAATAGTAGTTATGTCGAATTTTAATAATTGTCTCTTTAGAAGGGAAGCGTGCAACGTAATCTCAGTTATTCAGTTTCTGTAAATAGGGCACCTCCTGAATAACAGAATATCACTTCTCTTTCTCACAGTATCTTCTCCAAAGTAATTTGAAGACCATGGATGTTAGCATGTCACTTCTAATTCCCTCTGCGGAACGCGCCTCTGCAGTGTACACAGTGTACCTCTGTAATCTTGTTCCTTGTTGCGACCACTATCACAGTAAACATTTAACTACGTCTTGACGCACTTGGACGAAGATGTTTAAATACTTGTAATCAAGTAAGATGGAGCGCCGCCTCATTATACTGTTAGCAGTGTTCGTGACCCATGAAATGACAGATTTCCTGAACGTT